CAGGAAATTCAGCAGGCACATGGGCATGGTGGGAACGGCCACAGCCAAATCTGGACCAGAGTTACTTACCAGAAAGCAGAGAGATCCTCCTGCAAAGGGAAATAAATCGCAGAAAGGCTGGGATGTGCCACGGCTCTGCAGCGAGAAGATTTATGGATATGTACAAATCACGGGTCCATCTCGGATCAGCCTTGCGAGAGGCTGGTTTCTGGCTTGTTTGGCTGCTCCAGCAAGACAGCTCGATGTGTCCCAGGCACCAAAGGCTCTCCTCTCCTCCCAGACAGGTCCTCCATCTCCGTGTCTGTGTCTGGTTCCCTGAACCCTTGCCCACAGAAGGACTGGGCTCCTGGCCATTAGTTTCAGCTGTCCCTTATCACCAGCTCTTAATTTGTTTGTCCAGCACAAGGCAGATACGAGATTCAGCTGCTTCCCTTGACCTGTGTCACATTCCAGCCTCAGCTGCTCCGACCAGGACTCAAGACTCACTGCTTGGCATGGAGGTACACGTCCAAGAAAAGGAACCCCTAAAATACAAACTTGGAGCTGGCCTGGGGAGGTCTCGGATGAAGCAGAGTCACTGGACGATGCAGCCGGACGCTTGCTGGGTAATTGCACCCTGCGGATCCCAGCCTGTGTATCCAACAGGCAATTCCCATCTCTCCTTTTCCAGCCACACCTGCCTCGGGTAGTGTTCAATAAAACCCAAACTAAATACCCCATGAGAAATGAGAGGAATGAAATCCATCGACTCATCCACCAGCTCAGGACACCGCCAGCAAGCCGGGCTCACAGCCTTGGAGACCAACGGGGTGGGCTTCTGCAGTTGGTGTTGACCCAACACGGGCAGTAAAGCACTGGGGAAACTTTGCCAGCGTATTATTTTTCATCCTCAGTTCCTTATTAAGGGCAATGACACTATAACATGATGGCATCTGAACACACGAGGGAATATGGAGCAGGAAATAAAGGACACGGAGTCCTCCCGACTCTCTACCTTCCAGGCACGGAGGGCGAGTGCAATAGTGAAAGATACAAGCCACACACGCCTATGTCACACACCAATTTCGAGCTCAATCCTCTACAGCATCCAATCGTCTTGTGACCATCCTGAGTCATACGAGAAACCAAATTCCTTTTGGGTTTATTACAGAAGAAACTGAAGTTAATGTTTGCACAGGACAGCACAGGCTGGGCTCGCTGCCCCGCACCAGGCTTATCAGCGCAGCTGTGTCATGCAACACAGCAGCTCAAAAAAAAAAAAAAAAAAACCTGACCACGCTTCTAATTGTGCTTCTGTTGTAGCTTTTTACACTTAAGTTTTAGCAATTCTTAGGGAGCTTCTAATTGAGCTTCTGTTGTAGCTTCTTACACTTAAGTTTTAGCAATTCTTAGGGAGAAGTGGGAAATAAAGCTACCTTACAGGCCTGGGAGCCGTGAAATTCTTCCCTACAACACACTGATGCCCCAAGAGCAGAAGAAAAACATGCCACAGGTGCAAACAGCTTATTTAAAACACACTTCTATCTTTCCTGGTACAGACAATACTGTCTGAGCAACAAAAACACCCTCTGGCAGCTTTAACAAAAGCAGCTGGGCTCCAGACCTTGAGGAAACACTCCACGCTCATCACTGCATTGTGCCCACG